ACGACTGCCATTACGACCCAGACAGACTGCATTATGATTGATTATCCGATTGATTGACTGATGACTAACCAGCTAGCAAGCCGGCCGACTGACTCTGCCCTCAGGCAAGACTGAAATGCATTAGGATAACAAAAGCTGAAGCATATTCGACTCAGGCAGATGTTAATTAACAGAGCACAGGCGCAACACCTTGTGGCAACTGGCGTGCGAACATGTCTGAGTGCCTGCAGCCACATGGCGAGTGTCAGCCCCAACTGTGGATTGCGCCTTTCCTCCATTAGCCGAATGACGAAATGCCTGTTGGACAAGGCGGCGCCCATTAGGCGAAACCAAAATCAAAATATAAAAAATTTGCAAACAAAGGCGAATTGTGTCGAGCGCCTTTTATGGCTAGGCAACAACAAAAGCTGGCATCGCATTGTCGCTTTGGCAATAAAAGTAATCGAAATGCGGCCAAGTTGAAAATAGACGTCCATGCGTCTGGCTAATATGCGGGCGAACCACCGACGCCAGAGCCAAAGCCAAAGCCGAAACCGAAACTGAAACCGAAACCGAAGCGAGTCTCCAATTGCCGTTGCAATTGCACTCGGCGTCCCCGGGGAGCCGAAGGCGCTCGATGTGAGCAAAAACAATCGCAAAATGGAACCGAAACTGTGCAGATGTCAGCGCGTGCAGCGAGTGCCGTTAATTAGTTGGCCACTGCCAATTCGAATGGGCTTTTAGCCTAATGAGCGGCTCAAGGGACTGGGCAGCCTCATCGATCGAGCCAGAGAGTGAGAGGGGCAGAGAGAGGTAGAGAGCAGCAGCTGACTAAGTCACATCTAGAAAGGGAAGTGCGTGGAAACGCAAAAGAATGACTCAAAGACCACTGAAGCAATGAGCAAGCAAAGCGAACTAAGCGCAGCGAGAGAATTCTCGATAAGCTGCAAATGGAGAAAGAGAGTGATGAGTAATGAGAGAAATAAGAAGAGAGAGAGAAAGCGAAAGTAATGGAGAGTAAGAGGAAGAGAGGGAGAGAGAGAGAGGGAGAGAGGGAGAGGAAGATATTATAAGAGAGAGAAAAACAGTGAGTTAGAAAGAGAGACAAAGGTAGAGAGAAAGAGAGGAGAAGGAATGAAAATGGAGAAGCGAGAGAAAAGCAGGCAATGAGGAAGAGAAACTGAGATAAAGATAAAAAGAAAGACATTAAGAGAAAGAGAAAAAGAGTGTAAGATAAAGGCAGAGTGAGATAGAGAGAAAGAGACATCTAAAGCGAGAAATGAGAGAGAGAGAGAGAGAGAGAGAGAGAGAGAGTTAAATAGAAACTTTTTAAAAATAAACAAACTCCTTAGAAAAATAAAATTCTGTGTAGATTTTAGTCAAACTCGAATCGGACTAAATCTAGGCAATTTGCGATATAATCGAGTGGCAAGAGTTGAGACTGCGAGCAGCCAGTCAGGCACTCAATTAGCGTAAAGTTCAGAGTGCAGTTGAGAGTTGAGAGTTGAGACAGTCTGAGCGTGCGGATTGGGCGTTGGCAAGAGCAACGCCCAACGGCGGATCAAAGGATCAGTCGAATGCGAATGTGAATATTATGAAAAGCAATGAACATTTCAATACCAATTTCAATTTGAGTTCCAATTCCAATTTGCCTTGGCGCAATCAGCACATACGCGCACATTTATCCAAAGGCGGTTCAAGTGTGCCAAATGCGATAAAACTTTTTAAATGCATTTCAAGTGGATGCCGAACATCAAACAAAACAACAGAAAACGACGAACGACGAACGACAACAACAAAAAAGGCAGCGAGTAGCGAAAAGGACGAGGCAAAAGGCTTTTAGACCACAGTCCTATGAAGTGGGCCCAACTCTCTGAATCTGCATGCACATATATATATTTATATATATATATATATATATATTATAAATAGTCACATACACAAAGACGCAAAGAGAGAGAGAGAGAGAGAGAGCGGAGCAGAGGGGGCCGCGCAAGTGGCATTTGTGATTTATGCGACGTCTCTTTGAGGCTGAAGTGCAGATTACATTATAAATATGAAATAATACGAGTCGGCGCACAGGTCCTTGAGGACATGCCAAACGGAAATTGAAATTCGTATTACAACAACAGCAGCAAGCAAAATAATCGCCAAGAGATTAGGAGAAAACACAACAATCATTGCTGATTGCCCAAATCAAAGAAGAAAAGTTACAAAACTTTTATTGCAATTTGAAAATAGATGAAGAAATATTTCTGAACTATCAAAGACTCTCAGCAAACTCTATAAAATGTATTCCAATTGAGTGAAATTTTGTTAATAATTAAACAATTCTTAGATACATAAATGGAGCTTAAGAGAAGTATAAATTAAAGTTAATCAAAGATAGTAAAAGCATAGATAATGGCATATACAGAACTAGTGAGAATCGCAGAGAAGAGCTGTGCATGTTAAAATGCATGAGTATATGAATGTAGTCATACCAATGTATGAATAAAATACAGTTCGCTTCTCTCACTCGATATTTAATTGGCCCACTAAATGAGAGGAAAATAAGAAAATTAATTTCAATGGAACAACGCGGCGTATGATTAATGCAATTAATGCAACTGCTAAATGCAAGCGCTTAAAACTTTGCACCAGCTCAAATAGCACAGATAGCGGGAGAGAGAGAGAGAGAGAGAGGGCGCTCAAGAGACGTGTCAAAGTGCGCTAATTAAACTCTGCTACTGGCTACATAAACGCCAATTGCAGTCTGTTAGGTGAGAGAGGGAGAGGGGAAGAAAAGAGTTAGTGTGTGTGCGGGAAGGGGCGGGGCTTAGCTGTAGCCTAATTGCAAGCCAAGCAATTAATGGCAATTGCATATTGATTATGCAATTGTTATGCAATGCGACTAATTAATCACAACGAAGAGGCAGCGGGGCAAGTAGGGAAGTACAGCAGCTAATCGATATGGCGAGGCGACGCTGCCAAGCGCTTAATTAACATGGCCAACTTTCAGCAAGGGGGAAAGAGAGAGGAGGACAAGGAGTGACAGAATGGAGGAGTGGGAGCGAGACAACGGGAAAGGCAAGCAATGGATGTGTAACAGGAGAGGGAAGGCAACTGGAAAGGCAATTTAGAAGCAAGGCGAAAGTAAGCTTTTTGGAAAAACAAAAGAAGACATAATACACAGAGCGAAAAAAATAGATGAAATAATGAATGCAAATTAAGTGAGAAGACTAAATGTGTCAAACAATAGTATCTAAGCACAATATATAAGCTGATATATGAAATATCAATTATAATAAATATATATATATATATATATATATATATATATATATATATATATATATATATATATATATATATTTACTATACATGTGGGTTAGCACGTTAAATTGCTTTAGGAGGAATGTCTCGACTTTCTGCTCGAATTGTTCAAGTGCTTATATCAAATGTTTGTCATAAACAAAGCGATCTTAAATTGAGTTCATTTCTCTTTCCGATCATAAATAAATAATACTTTCGTAGCAACGATTTCATGTTGTTTTTCTGACTGTGTACTGTGGTCTGCTAGATATTCCATATTACTTCTAGTTAGAAAGCTACGATCAGGCTTTACTTGGAATTTCTGAAACTTTATCGAAACAATTTCATTTTTGTGATTCTGCTATTTTGACCCAATAACCTGGTTAGAGATCGTTTGATCACTCGAGCAGTCGCATTTCACTGTTGGATAAACAAAAATGCGAGCAATTCGATAGGCAGCAGTTATCGTGTATCGAATTACATAAACAATCGGATGCTTTAGGTTTAGCGAATTGTTTAAACAATTTGGTGAACAGTGCCTGCTAACAAATGGCGCACAAGTGACCGTGTTGCATGTCGGCCAATATTATAAACAAAAACAAAAATTCCAAAAAAATAAATAAAATCACGTAAAAAGGCAGGCACACACACACTCATGCACACACACTCACACGCACACACGCATGGAGACCGCTGCAGTGCGGCCCGCCAAATTGGCGGCGCAAAACAAACTAAAATTTCATTTAGTAAAGGCCGCGCAATCGTCGCATAATTAACACACATACACACACACGGGCACACGTTTGACTCACACGTATAGTGTGAACAGTGTACGTGAGCGCGCTTCCAGGGCAGAGTGGGATAGCAGGCGGCGGCATATGTGAGTGCATGCGAGATAGCAAGCGATTATGCTGTTCGCATTACCCCTACAATTGGAAAGATTGTATAGCGCTGTGCATACGTGAATGAAATAGCTAGCGCAGCGACTATGCTGCCATCTCACTTCCACGCAAAGATGGCGTAGCAGACGACCGTAGTGGCAGCAGCACTGCCAGCGTTCAGCCAGCGACACCCTCAGTCGGCACTTGGCAAGCAGCTACGAAGCAGTTGAAGCTACCCTGAGCGACGGCAAAACAAGAAAGAACGTAAAGGCGTGTGTGTTGTTCAACGTGCGTTGGCGTTGACGTCGCAGTTGGCGCTGGCACCGACAGCGACGTTGACGTTGACGTGACGCTTTTGCTCGCGTGCAGCGCGCGCTTTGGTTTCAGTTCGTTTTCGTACGTTGTGCACGCCGAACGCTAGCGGTCAGCGCCCACACACCAGCAGAACAACAAGACAGGCGACAGACGACGTCCAGTTAAACGCACACGCACATTCGCGTACCACAGCCATTAGCATTTGGTCTAAGCTAAGCTCTTTGCTGCTGGCGTTGTTGTTCTTGTGTGTTGTCGCGACTTGTGGTATCGAAATAAAAGAACAGTTAAATTTCCCATACATACACACGCACGCACGAACTTACTATTCGAACTCGAATCGAATTGGATTGAAAACATTTTGAACATCTTCGCATATTGTGTTTTTTTTTGTCGCCACACATGTGCGACAGTGTTGTTTTGTGTGAAAGTGTGTGTTTGCGCGCGTGTACGTGTGTATGCTGTCATATTTTTTTTTGTGTTTGTCTATTCATGTGAGTTATGTTAACCGTTAACCGTTAACCGTCAGCTGAACAAGTGCAATAAACCGTAAACAGAGCAAAACTTTTACCGACGGCAAAATGCAAGCGACCAAATTGCGAACCCCCTTTGCCATACAGGAGATCCTTGGTCTGGGCGTCGGTGTCGGTGTCGGCGTCGGTGCCTACCAGCAGCAGCAGCAGCAGCAGCAACAACAACAGCAACAACAACAGCAGCAACAACAATCATCGCAGGCAGCTGCCGCTGCCACGCCCAGCGCCATTGAGGCGCCCCTCTCACCGGCCGCCACGCCCCCACCACGTAATGCTAATACGCCGCAACAGTCGGCCGTGAGCAGCGGTCAACCGCTGGAGCAGCCCTCGCGAGATTCGCGCTCCATTTCGCCAGATGTGACGCGCTTATCAGCGGCCGCTGCAGCTGCCGCCGCTGCTGCTGCCGCCCACTGCCAACTACCCGTATTCAATCCGGCAAATTTCTATGCAGCCGCCGGCTATGCCGCTGCCGCCGATCCGGCGAACGCAGCTGCCGCCCATCACCATCACATGACGACGTTGGCAGCGGCTGCCTATCTGCGAGGCTTCTTGCCGCCCGGCTTCAGCACGCCCCACGAATTTCGCGGACACTTTCAACAGCATTTCGGCGCTCAGTTTGCAGGTGAGTGAGTGAGAGGGCAACAGTGGCGGTTACAGTTATAAGTGACAGTACACTCGGGCTAATTGAAATAAAAGCCAAACAAGAAAAGAAGAACAAAAGCTTTGTTTTAGGCAAGTGCGACAAGGGGTCGGAGAGGGAACGGTTGCGCGAGCAGGAGCAGGAGCAGGAGCGGGAGCGAGGACGCGAACACAACGAAAGCAACCAACTGGCAAACTGAACGAACGGGACACTCTCTTTTTGTCTTTAGGCGCAACTAATAAGCTTGAATTCGCCACAGCGAAAAAAGGGGTTGCCAGACCGCGTTTGTTCGCCTCGCTGGGCAGGCAAAATTAAAACAATAAAACGACAAATTAAACACGGAACGGAAAGGGGCGGGGCGGTGCTATGGGCAGGTGTTATGTGGTAGGCAGTTAGGGTTAAGCCAGAAGCTTATTAATAACACACCGACAAACACGCACACACACACACACGTGTTGAGTGGCTCATCACGAGAAGTGTGAAATCTTACACTTCAATCGATGAACTCTTAAATATGTGTCTGTGTGTGTCTGTGTGAGCAAAGCCAATTAAGTGCATAATTATGCAAGCTCCATTACATTCCAATTGGAATGAAATACAAATATCCAATAAAGCTTCCAACTCGATTTCCAAAGAAATTGTCATGGAAAATATTTTAATAAAATGTATTGCAAAAAAAAAACAAATTGAAGCTCTTCTAATATATTTAACATGAACTTTTTATTATGTGCTCAAAGTTGTAGATAGTTTTATTTGAAAGATATATTCAAATTATTGTTCAATTATATTTCAATCATTGTGTGAAACAATACAGTTATGTTTAACTTTGGGCCAAGACCTGAAGCAGCAGATATATAATATTTTATATATATTATATAATCTAAAGTTTTCTTATTTGTTTATTGCTTTCTAAGGGAAACTTATTTTATTGAATTATTAGATTGAAACACAGCAAAAAATTTTGACTCAACTTTTCCCCAAGTTAAAAAAAAGTTTTTCTTATTTATAAATTAATTTGTTAAGGAAAAAGTGAAGCTTCGACCAATCGACAGTTTTAATAAGTCAACTTTATTCATAACAACTAATTTCTTTTTAAATTTAAACTTCAATTTCACCTGAGTTTCAATTTGTTAAAAATTGATGAATGCAAGAATTTTAAATGTCAATTAAAAGAAATTTAAATTCATCAAGCCAAAAATGCACATATTATTTTAGTTTCTATATAAATAATATATTTGTGTTTTTTTTGCGAATAAAAAATGTTTTAATTCATCTCCCTGAAAATGTTTTGAAACTAAAATGAATGTACAGCTTCATTAGAATTGATATTCATTATCGCATTGTTATAATGAATAATAACAATAATAATAGCTAATAAAATTATTCGAGAAGTTTGTTTTAAGCAAGTTCAGATATGAGTGTGTATTTTTAATATAATTATAATTATTATCATTATAATTGTAGCTTTTAAAACTATTAAAGTTAAGCAGAGGCGAGCTTAAGTTAGCTATTCCTCCCTCTCTGTCTCTCTGTCTCTCTGTCTCTCGCTCTCTGTCAATTACATATCAAGTGTCTCTATTATGAACACTTAGTTTAGCCCTCTTCTCTGCCGCCCATTCTCATGGGTTGTTAACTTTAATTTTGGGTTATCTTTGCTGTCATTCTCTATTTCTATCTAATTTGCTATTCAATTTTATGAAGTTTACCTTTTTTTCTCGGTTGGCTTGTCCACTTTTTTGGCCCATATCATTTGTTAGTTTATTTGCTCACGCCCACACAGACACATACTCATGTATATACTTGCACACTCATTTATTTGAATTGCCTTTGACCGCAGCTACCTCACACACACACACCCACACACACAGACACAGGCACATTTAATTTGTTAAGTTTTCACACTTTACAACTGTTTTGCTTCTTCAATTGCTGTTGTTGTTGTTGACCTTTCCGCAGTTGGCTTGCAGCGTATGCTGCTAGAACTATTTGCTCTGGGGTCACATTTTCACTGTTTGCACAACAGAGTTTCGCTCAGTGTAGTTGTGTTGCCAACGCTGCGAGCCAAGTTGAGCCGAAGGAAGCAGAGAGCGAGAGAAAAAAAGGCAAAAGACTTGTCCTATTTCTATGGCTTGCACAATGGGCAGCAGCAGCAGCAGCAGCAGCAGAAGAAGTAGCAGAAGGAGCAGCCGCTAGTTGTGTACAAAATAAATCGAGTCGAGTGGCAAGCCGCAGCAGCAGCAGGCCGCATCTAAAGGCAGCTAAAGGAGCTGTGGCTTTGGCATATCCTTTAACTGTAAAATTGCCACTTTCCACTTTCTACTTTCCACTTTCAACCGACTGCTGCCTGCTGCCTGCTGGCTGCTGTCTGTCACGTTGTTATCCTTAATTTGAGTGGCCATTGAGCAGGACGCAGCTCGATGCCAGCGGCACAATGTGGAGCATACTTTGCAGCAGCAGCAGCTGCTGTCGTTTTTCTTCTGCTTCTGCTTATTTTAATAAATATTTACTTGAAAGTCATGCCAGTGCGAGACCCCTATATCAATCTATCTATATATCCTATCTCTCTCTCTCTCTCTATCTCTCTGTATAACCTGCGTGTGTCCTTTGCTGCGTCAATGTTGTTCTTTTTGCTTTCCTTCACACTTGTGCCCAGGCACCTTGGCCTCTTCACCTGAGGATCACTGTCAGCAGCTGCCGCTGCTGCTGCTGCTGTTTATGTAATGGCCGCAACTATTTTTCACACATTTGTGCTTGGCCAAGACGACAAACAGCTTGAGAAAAAGTAAAAAAAAAGAAAAAGAAATAGAAAAAGGGCAATGGGCAATGGCTAACTGGCTAACACACTCGACTTGTTGTCGTTGCTATTGTTGCTGCTGTTGTTGTTGCTCTTTGTTTGGCCTGAGTCAGTTTTTTTTCAGGCTTAAATTGTAAGTGGATTTGTGTTAATGGCCCATAATTGCGCCCTAATTGGTTCTGTAATTGGGCTTTTTTTTATCACGAATTTAGTGTGTATGTCTATATATGTATTTACACATAATCATATATAGATAGATATATGTATATATATATATACATATATACACATATAAAATCAGACGGACCAAAACATGTGCTGCAGCGTTTAATTGCTTTGACTACTCGTTGACTCTGATTAAGTTTGAAGAAATCCAGGTTGATTTTATTTTGAAAACTATTTTAAGTATGCGATTTATATAGCTATATACATATATATCGAAGTATATATATGTTTCTCTATCTATATGCTATACTCTATAATATCAATCATAAATCTACTTACCTATATATTTATACATCTATCCATAAATCTGTATATCCCTCTATCTTTCTAGCTAGCCATCCATCTATCTATCATCTATCTATCTTTCCATTTATCCATTAATCTTACTATAGATTTGTATATTTATCAATCTATCCATCTACCCATCTATTTATAGCATCCATCTATCTATCTGTCTCTCTATTTTTCTATATATCTATCTATCTAAATATTTATCTATATATCTATCTGTCTATCTATCTATTTATCTATCTATCCATCTATCCATCTATCCATCTTCCCATTTATCCATCTTCCCATTTATCCATCTATCTATATTTCTGCCCAACTATCAGTTATATATCAAGTTAATCTTAGTTTTTTACAATTTCCATTAGCTTAATTAATAAAAATCTCTTTTTTCGCTTATAAAATATACTTTTCTTTACAACTCAACTATTTCATCTTTGCCTTTTGCTATGCTCTTCAAGTCTTCACCTTTTCCTTTTTTTGCAATTATATTTTAGCATCTGCCACGCGTGTTCACAAAAAAGAGCACAAAAGCGAACCGCATGAAAATCAATCGCACCAATTTTACAAAAAAAAAAAATTAATAAAAACTCAAAAGAAAACCTCAAAATTCTTAAATGAAAATGTTGCGATAAGCATCTATAACTGGCAGTAAAAGGGAGCAAGGCGGAGATATTTGTGATATTATCGTCCAGCCGCACTTCCGAAACACAGAGAGAGAGAGACAGGGAGACTAGAGTAGCAGCTAGTGCGCATTTCCTGCCAGCGTGGACAAAGGTAATTTGATAGTTTTTCGCACATTTGTTGGGAAAATTGGTATAGAAAATTGCTATATCAAGTGTTAATTATGTGACAATGAGTTGCCCAAAATAGAGATGGAGTGGGGGTAAGAGAGAAAGAGAGAGAGAAAGGTTAAGAGGTAACATTTGTATTTTGATAATAATTTGGTTTTAATTGGAAAACTGCAAGTTCAGTTTTCATGAAAAACCGGACCAAAGCAAACAACCGAAACGTAAACAAACTGTGGAAAAAAAAGAAAATGAGGAAAAAATGAAGAGAATTTCCCCGAAACCGGGGAACTCAACTGCTGCATAAACAGTTGCAGTTGTAGTTGCTGCTGCTGCTGCTGTTGCAGTTGCAATTGGAATTGGAATTGGGCATCGGGAGGAGCATGGGACGAGACCAAGCGAGCGAAAGAAAGAGCCGAAACAAATTGATGACAACAAGTGGCAAGCGTCCTCGAGCGCGACTACGTTTCAGACTTTTACCCAACAATTGCCTGCCTCGGGGCTGCATGATCAGCCAAAGGTTGCAGCCACTTCAGCTGCAGATTCGTCGTCGTCATTTTTTTCTAGGAAGCACTCGAGCGTTGCTCGTTGCCCGTTGCCCGTTGCCCGTTGATCGTTGATCGTTGCTGAGCGTGTAAACAGCTCTCGCTGGCAACTCGTTGGCCTAGGCCAGGCTCTCTAAGTGGCTTTGTTCCCAAGCCTAAGCCTCGACGGCGACGACGACTCGATGAAAGCCTCGAGATGATTTCTGCATGATTTGCATTTAAAAGCCTTGTAGCAAACAGTCTTGAAGCCCCGATCCCAGAGCCCAGTGCCACGAGTGCCGGGCTTTTTGGGAAAGTGCCCAAACTTGACTCCAAGCTGCGCTTTGGCATTGCCTCGCAACG